AAATTAATTTTAATTTATTAAATAATAAATAAAATACATTAATTATTTTATTAACTATTAATTCATACTTTTAATCGTTACATTCAATAAAATTAAATCATCTTAATAAAATAGTAAATTATGATAACTACACTCAAAAGAAAGTGAGGATTGGAACTCCCGATTACAGTTCAAGTAAAAGCAAGTAAACTTAAATGCTTTATAAGCATTATGGCACTATCTTTCTCCGTTAATGATAGCTGTTTTCTAACTCTTTTTTAAAGAAAAAGGTATTTTTTGGTGTGAATTGCATTTTTTTACAATTTAAATATTAAAATTATAAAAGTACAATTAATTAATTAATATGAAAAGCAATATTAATTTTAAGACCTAAACTACATAAGAAATACAGCTCATATTAAAAAAATATTTTTTAATTTTATAAATTAAGAATTTTAAGATAATTTTTTTATTTATATTGTTTTTATAATTCATTTAGTTTAAGAGAAATCAAAAGAAGAAAAAAAAACGAGATGGCATTATTTTAACTAATTAAATTAAGTGTTAAAATTAACAAAATAATTTAATTAGTTATAATAATTTTTTTTATGTTCTACCTTCCAACCGGCCATGCTACAAGAGAAAAAAGTAAAAGATAAAATTAAAAAAATTTAGTAATATGATGGGTAGTATAAAGGAAGAGATATTAATAAATAAAAAATTTCATTAAAATAAAAAAATAATAATTAATTTACCATAAATTTTAAGAAAAAAACTAATGCTCCTTCTACTATTATTTTTGGTACATACTATTGTTAACAAAGAAGTAATTAGTAATATTTAATAATTAGAATATTTTGTCAACAACCTATAAATAATTCAGTAGTCACTTCCTTCCGCTAAAAGTAAGAAATTTTAAATTCGAATCATATGATATGTGAGTGAAATGAGATATCGATAAAAACAAGCGATGATTATCTTATATTATGTAATCAAGATAAAAATAATAATAATAATTAGAATATCTTATATTACTATTATTTATATTACTATTATAAATACTATTTAACTACATAACTATTTTAAGTTATCTGCGTCTAAGTAACAGAGGCGTGCCGCCAGAACGAGCCGACGATGCTGCCTGAAATTTTTTTTATAAAGAAAATATTTTATTCGTTTCTAGAACCTTTGTTTTTCACATTATTTTATTTTTTTAGAAGAACCTGTTTGTCAATTTGTGAACAGCGTACCACGAAAATTTACGAACTTTTTCTGTTCTACTTCTAGAATTTAATTTTGCATTTTGAGCGTCTTCCCCG